AATTATTATAAATTATTATAAATATAATATAAATATATAATAGATAATACTTAGATCTTAGTTTTTTATCCTTTATAGTTCCTATAATTATAATACAATTCTTTCCTATAATTTACAATCGATTTACAACTAAATTCTTTTCTCTTAATTTGACTTCCCTATAATCTCTTATATAGTAACTAGCTTATTATAGGTAATCTTCTAGTAAGCTTAATATTAGTTAAGAAGCTTAGTAAATCCGATATCTTCTTTATCTTATAGTCTTAGAGTTTATATCTTATAGAATCTAAGTAATATTATTAAAATAGTATTAAAAAACTAAGTCGGAGTATTATTTACTTCCGGTATCTTTACTCTCTTATATCTTATCTAAACTATCTCCTAATTTAATAGCTACTTATTAATATCTATATTTCTTTTTAACCCTTTATCTAGATTTCTCTATAATTAATAGAGCCTAATAGTATTTATTAGATTATATTCGGTAGCGAATCGTTAATAAAGATTTTAGAGTAACGCGTATAATATTTTATAATTAATAATAAAAAGTTAGTAGTTCGGGTAAATACTATTTCTAATAGCTATTATTACTATATTTAACCTCTTTTTTTATTAGATATATATAGTATTATCAATTAACTATTCCGATTAAAGTATTTTTAACGATTTAAACTATTTCTCTTTATACTCTTTTTATATCTTAACTATCGAGATAACCTTTACCGGTACTTTTAGAGGTTCCGGTTCCTTCTCTTAACTAGGATTATATAGCTCCTATACATTAAATTATACTATAATTAATTCGATATTAGTAAGCTATAAATCCTATATTACTATATCTTTTAAGATAACGCGGGAGGATATATCTATAGAGAGGTATTCGGCTATAATTTTATTATAAATAGATTTCCGATTTTTCTTCGATTTAGGGGTTACTCTATCGCTAGGTAGACGACTTCTCTTTTATCGCTTTAACTACCTTAGTATCGGTAATAGTAGGGTTGATCTTTGATTTAATCTTTATTAGAACGATTCCGGGCTTATAACTAATAGAAATCTATCTATCTTAAATTATATAGGTACTACGGCTGATATTGAGAACTCTAACTTTTCTAAAATGACAAAACCCGCTATTTTAATAATCTGTGCGGTAATGATGACTAATCTATAATATGTACTTTTGTATGGTATATCCAGTACTCGAAGTCATATGATCTCCATGGTATAATACCATGTAAATCCACGTATGCACTTTGACATTTAAATTTAAATTCTTTAAATTTAAATACTTTTCTTTTAACTACTACCCTTCTAAATAAACCTAATAGCTATAAAGAAGCTATAGATAGTAATAAAAAGCATAAATAGTATAAAGCCTATCTAGAATAAGTTAAAGAATTAGAAAAACAACAAATATATAATATTAAAAATATACCTACGGATATTAAACCTATAAAAGGTAGATAGGTTTTTAAGAAAAAACTAATTTATAATCCTAAAAATATAAAGGAATTATATATAGTTAATTAAGACAAAACCTTTCGATATAAAGCTAGATAGGTAATCTAAGGTTTTAATCAAAAACTAGGTATCGATTTTTTAGAAACCTTTTCTATAATATATAGAATAGAAATATAGTATATAATATTAATTATAGTAGTTAATAAAGGATAGACTATTTTATAATATAACGTTAAAAATATATTTGTATATATAGATATAGATACTAATATATATACTATATTACTAATAAGTATATATAATAATAAAACTAAATGCTATTATTTACTAAAAGTAATATATAGCCTAAAACAAAGTCTAAGATTATAGTATAAATATCTATCTAAAGCTCTATCTATATTTAGTTTTAAAGTACTACCTTACGACGAAGGAGTATATATAAATAAAAAAACCGGTAAACACTGTTGGCACAGCAAAAATCACTGATGGCACAGGAGTCTAACCCAATTAAGATAAGTCTTTCTTGGCGGTCATTTTCAGTCTAAGTGTTATTTATTATGGTATCGCCATAGTAAGAAACACAGCCCCTGACTCACCCCAGCCACATAGTACTTCATGATCTGCTCCATGATCCGCTCCATACTCGGCCCTATATTAATTCCCCATAATGATGCTCCCATAATTATGCCTCCATTAAATCACATGATCTGGATAGGGCTAATTGTTAGAGTTAATCGAGCCTTAGCACCCATAATAATGCACCATACTAATGCACCATAATAATGCACCCATTAAATCACGTGATCATAATGCTTTTAGGTGCCAGATATAAATCACGTGATCATAGTACTAGAAATGAGTCACGTGATCATAGTGCTAGATATAGATCACGTGATTATAGTACCAGGTATATATCACGTGATCACGGTGCCTTTACATAGTACCAGATATAGACCAAGGTGCCAGATATAGATTACGTAATCATAGTACTAGAAATAGATCACGTGATTATAGTAACAGGTATATATCACGTAATCATAGTGCCAGATATAGATCACGTGATCATAGTACTAGAAATAAATCACGTGATCATATTGCTAGATATAGATCACGTGATTATAGTACCAGGTATATATCACGTGATCATAGTGCCAGATATAGATCACGTGATCTATTTCTAGTACTATGATTACGTAATCTATATCTGGCACCTTGGTCTACAACAGCCTACCCTATAAAGATTCACCCACCCCTAAACTAGCGGTGTAGAGATCTGCATAATTTAAGCCTAATTTAATTTAGTCCTATGTATTCAATCTGTATGGTTATTATTTTGAATTCTTCCTTCTTCAACTCTCCTCTCTACCATTCAGATCAATTCAATTCAGATCAATTCAATTCAATTCAATTTAGATCAATTGCTATGGAATGGCCTAACCCCCCGATCGACGAGATTCCTCGTACGCCGAGCCCCCCCGGAACCCCTAGAACCCCCTAGGCCCCCCGAACGCCGAGCCCCCCTCCGGAGCCTCCTGATTCCCCTGATTCTGATGGAACCCGGGTTCCTAGAGCGCCTCCTTTTCCTATGGTTGAATTTCACGATGATTTATAACGTTGGAGCTAGCTAGAGAGAGATACCGCTATTAGGGTGCTTACCCTAAGTGAAGCTGGGTGGTCGGCACGGAGAATTAGCGGTTATCTTGGTATTACGCGGAATCAAGTACGCTATGCTATTGATCGGGGTGCTCCTACCCCTCGCCGTCCTTGTGGTCGAAGCCCGAAATTGCATTCGAGAGAGGTTGATAATATTATTACCTTTATTACTACGAATAAGGCGAATCGACGTCTACCGTATAATAGGTTGATTGATATTTTATCTTTAACTATCTCGGTTGATACCCTTCGACGTACTTTAACTCGAAGGGGTTATAACCGACGTGTTGTACTTAGCCGTCCTGATATAAAGGAGAAGAATATCCTTAAACGTCTTAAATAGGCACGCGAGTATATGAATTGGACCCGTGAGGATTAGAGTCGAGTGATTTGGACTAATGAGATTTAGGTAACTCCTAGATATTACCGAAAGATGAGAGTAACGAGACTTGCCGATGAGGAGAGACATCCTAATTGCCTTCGACCACGACGTCGGCAAAGTAGAGGCTAGATATTCTGGGGTTCGTTTATTAGAACGGAAAAGGGACCTTGTTTATTCTGGGAGAAGGAATGGGGCTGGATAGGTGGTGAATCCTATGTTGAACGACTTGCTCCTTTGATAGAAGGCTTCTTTCGTTTAAGATATGATCGGGAGCCAATCGTTATGTAAGACAATGTACCTAGCTATACCGCTAAGGAGGTTCTCGAGTATTTCGATAAGCTTAAGGTGGTAATGATGAAGTGGCCTGCTTTTTCACCCGATCTGAATCTAATTGAGGAGGTATGGAATTGGATGAAAGATTACATCGAGAGAACATATGGTGATCGACACTTTCCTTTGTCGAAGCTTCGTGACGTGGTTCGGGAGGCCTGGGATGCTGTGCCGGAGGAGTTCCTATCTGCTTTGATCGATAGTATGCTATTGAGGTGCCAGGCGGTTATTGATGCAGAGGGTGGTGCTACTACTTACTAGTAGATAGATAGCAATTGATGGTGCTACTACTGGATTATAACTATTGTTGTAGTATTTTGACATAGTAGGAATAAGGAAGAATTAAAGGGTTGAGAACCCTGTTTTTAAAAAAATTTTATGGTATTAATTTGTAAGAATACCATATAAAATACTAAGCTAATTATGCGCTAGTAAAATTGGGTGGAGGTGGGTGAATCTTTATAGGGTAGGCTGTTGTATATCTGGTACTATGATTACGTAATCTATATCTGGCATCATGATTACGTGATCTATATCTGGCACCATGATCACGTGATTTAATGGGTGCATTATTATGGTGCATTAGTATGGTGTATTATTATGGGTGCCAAGGCTCGATTAACTCTAACAATTAGCCCTATCCAGATCATGTGATTTAATGGAGGCATGATTATGGGAGCATCATTATGGGGAATTAATATGGGGCCGAGTATGGAACAGATTATGGGGCAGATCATGGAAGTACTATGTGGCTGGGGTGATCCAGGGGCTGTGTTTTTTACCATGGCGATACCATAATAAATAACACTTAGACTGAAAATGACCGCCAAGATATTCCATACCTAATTGGGTTAGACTCCTGTGCCATCAGTGATTTTTGCTGTGCCAACAGTGTTTACCAAAAAACCGGATATATTTTAATATATTATATAGATAATATTTTAGCTATTTATAAAGATATTAATTATTTAAAAGATCTAATAATATAATTAAAGCAATATATTAAAATTGAAGAAATAGGACCTATTTCTATATTCCTTAGTAATAATATTAAGATTAAAAATAAATATCTTTATATAAACTAAAATAAATATATCGAAAAACTATTAACTAAATTTAATATAAACCAAAATCTAGTTAAAATCCCTAGAGCCTGATAGCAAACCAGAACATATCAGAATAACTTCTCAGTAATTTCAAGAAAATCATTGGCGTTGATAAGGATATCATGTTCCCCTGGTCCTGGAGGTCGGTCGTAAATAGCAGCAAATGGAATACTTAACGGGGCCCCGACAACATTGTTAGGCTGGACGTAGACCTCCTGCGCTGAGTATGGCTGCTGAGTGGGAATCGGCTGGGTAACAAGTGGAGGAACATTGAGGGGCTGGGTGCGGAGTCCATCAAGATATGCTCGAGTGAGTGGGCATGGAGCATTGGTGGGGGCCAGTTGCCATTTTTCAAAGGTGACTTCGGTCAACTTAATCGACATAATGATAACAATGCGCACCAGACCTTGGGAAATGATAAACCATCTCTTAGCGTCTTCGCGAAGCCGAGGGAGGGATTCGGAAACACCTGTCTCGATTACAAAAGTCGGCCATGACCCACTGGGAAGCCCATTGGGACAGCGAATTGGTGGCAAGAATGCTTGGTCTCCCTGTTTACCTGCACCAGCGGTGGGCTTATATGTAGATGTTCCAGTCCAGACCATCTCTGACCACCTAAGTCCCATTGCAATAAGCTTCATGTCGATTGCTCGACTGATTTGGTTTGTGATTCCGTCATGACGCTCTGACGGGACCACTTTGATCAGCCCTGTCGTCCCCTCCCACTGAAAGCGATAATTAATGCCCCCTAGACTGCTCTGATGCTCTTCATCGAGCTTTTTGATTGTTCGTGCCGACAGATTGAGGACGACGATAAACTGGTTTCCATCTCCCTTCTCTTGTAGAGACTTCAGTAACTGCTCAGCTTCAAGCCGTAGGCCTTTAAAGCGTGAAAAAGTCCGCACAATGCGGTCTGCGGGAAGGGCGGACATAAGGGAAGTGAAAGACATCTCATCCTAGGCCTGGTCTTTATCCATCTGAGGGATCTGAGGTAGGGTGTTACGGGACATTCCCAGACAGGGTCATATGACCCGTCTGACCGCCTTAGTTAGCTTAATGGCTACTGTATAGATAGATAGGAATGTCATCCTTTTACCAGTTCCTACAACAAATGGTAGCACGTCTAAACACGTCTATTATAGGGAAAAGAAGGTTTAAATCAATTTTCTATCTTTAAGCTCTTCCCCGAGGTTATTTATTTTTTTCTAAAACCGTTTGTCGACGGCGACGTTACGATACGTCGTCGTCGTCGATACGATAGTTCTTAACGATCGGATTATATAATACGGCTAATAAATACCGTAGGCGTAGACTACTACCGATAGCTAGGGCGTCCGTAGTATATAATTAGCTAACTATTATAAAGATTATCCTAACTTCCGTATTTTAGTAGAGGCTTCGTTATTATTATAACAATTCCCTACGACTATAGATCCCGCTAGCTAACGATACGTTATAAGATTAATAAGGCCTATTAATTAGCGTTATCCGTCCGACTAGGTAGTTAATCTACCGGCGGTTCGCCGACTATTAAAATAATTCTACGCTAAGAATAAAGCTCGGCGTTTAAGAGAACTAGTCGGCGAAGTCGACCTATTATCGAGTCCTATTAGTATATTAGCTATATTAAATCCTATTATCGGCGAAGCCGACGCGCTAGTTATACCGTCTAACCCCTCGATAATAGCGTCGGTAAGGTTGCCTATTAGATTTACGTATAGATAAGTTTTAACTAAGTATAGATATCGTCTACGTTCCTTCTCGTATCCTTAGGCGAAGGACGACGAAATACCGCCTATATTTATAGCGTTAAGTAACGCTAGTATTCCGGCTACTATAGCCCTATATTAAGCGATAACGTAGGCAACGGAAGTAGGTATACTAAGAGTTACCTTATCTAAGCTATTATAGTAGTCGGTTCCGGAAGTAACGCTATTAGCTATAGCGCCGCCGGTTATAATACCGTACCTACCGGAATTTACGGCGTACCCGTATTTATAGGGGTCGCCGAATGTACATTTTTAGCTACTATCAAAGCGCAGGGTTGCATACATGGGATGATACCATGGAAGATTATGTAATCATGCTTAGTAATAACCGCACAGAAACAGTAGTTTCTATTATGTAGAAAATGCAGAGTTCTCCATATCAGCCCTGAGGTGCATATATTTCAATACGTTAGATTTCTGTTAGTTATAAGCCCGGCTTTGTTCTATTAATTAATTCAAAGATCAACCCTACTTCTAATCGATACTAAGGTAGTTAAAGTAATAGAAGAGAAGTTATCTACCTAGCGACGAAGTAACCCCTAAATCGAAGAAAAATCGGAAATCTATCTAAATTATAGCCGATTATCTCTCCGCGGGTCTATCCTCCCGCGTTATCCTTAAGGATACCGAAACTTAGGATATATAGATCGCTAATATCGAATTAATTATAGTATAATTTGATATTTAGGAGTTATATAATCTTAGTAAGGAAAAAGAACCGGAGATATAGAAAGCTCTAGTAGAGATTATATCGATTAAAGAAGCGGAGAAAAAGTATAGCGATAAATAGGTCGATACTTATAAAATAATTTAATCGAACTAGTTAATAAAGAATATACTTTATACTTAGGAAAAGAAGAGGTTAAGTATAATTATAATAGTAATCCGGAATAATATTTACGTAAACTTCTAGCTATTTATAATAGACTATAAAACTCTATATAGTCTACTCCGAAACCTTTAAAAAAGGTTCGCCTTAGAGTATAATCTAATCTATTCTACTAGGCTCCGATAATAATAGAGAAGCTTAGATAGAGGGTTAGATAAAAATATAAATATTAATAAATAGTTATTAAACTAGGAGATAATTTAATTAAGCTATAAAAAAGTAGGAATACTAGAGGTAAATAACGCTTCGACTTAGTTCCTCGATACTATCTTAGTAATATTACCTAGATTCTATAAGATATAAACTCTAAGACTATAAGATAAAGAAGATATCGGATTTACTAAGCTTCTTAACCGGTATCGAGTATACTAGAAGATTACCTATAGTAAGCTAGTTACTAATTAAAGAAGTATCTCTAAAGCTACTTTTTCGATATAGTAAGGCTATAAAGAAGCTAAGCTAAAGACCTCGGATAAAAAGTTAGCTAATATAAAATTAACTAGAGAAGAACTACCGTTTAAATTAAAGCTATATCTATATAGATAGAACTATAGATAATATCTACCTTAAAAGTATTAGGACGTCTTTAATAAGAATAAACCTTCTAGGTATACTAAAAATAAGGAAGCTAAGTAGAAATAGAAGAAAGCTATAAAGACTAACCCTACTTAGAAGGCCTAGGTTAATAAGAGACGTTAAGAAAACCTAGTATAATAGGGGAAGGCAGTATAATAAGTAAATACTACCCTTAATAATAAAGAGGATAACTTATTATATAGGTTCTTCTCTATATAGACCGGCGAGCTAAAAGAAGGTAAGCTATAGGCCGGAGCGCTAAAGATAAGTAAACCTTAGGTAGCTAAGCTATAGGCCGGCGTACTAAAGGTAGGTAAGCTATAGGAAAGTAAGTCCTAGGTAAGTAAGCCGGCGGTTAGTAAGTAAATTCTAACCTCTACTATCGTTATATCTACCTAAATCTACGAAGCTAAACTAATTAGAAGGAGATAGGTAATCGATACCGATATATAAATATATATCTATAATAATCGGGAGTAGTTTAAAACTTTCGAAGATATATAGAATAGCGTTAGGGTAGGAGATATAGAAACGAGTATTAATAAAATAGGCACTATAGTAATCTATAGTATTAGCCCTATTAATAAAAAAGTAGTTAAAATAAAGTTATATAATACTAAATACTCGCCTAATTTCTATAGTAATCTAATATCTAATAGGTTAATAATAAAAGCGGGGCTAGTAATAAACTTCCGGAAGAACTATATTAAATTAACTAAGAAACTAGTATACTAAGTATATTAGGATTAGAAGTTAATATAATTAGTATAACCTAAAGAATTAGCCTTTACTACTAAGAAGTTAATAAATAAGCTAAAATTAGAAGCTTTAATCTAAACTTAGTATAGGCGCCTAGGCTATATTAGTTAGTAACGTCTTATTAAGCTAATAGAGATAACTAAGGGGATTACTATTAAAAGTAACCCTAGTAAGAACGAAACGTAGATATATAAAGCTTATTAATTAGTAGATATCCTAAAGTAAATCTCTCGCCGGAAAATAGGCTAAGTATATAGTATATTTAAACATATCTACTTCGATCTAATATAGAATTAAACTACTTATAATAGGTATATCTAGATAATATATTTTTATCTTAATAGTATTAAGTACTACTTTATCTTTATATATACTAAGAAAAATAAATACTAAATAGTTATTAGGAAGTTCCTAGTATTAGTTAAGAACTAGCTAAAGATCGAGATTAGGATATTCTACTATAATAATAAGCGGAGTACGGGTCTCGAAGTTAAAATAATAATAGAAGCCGAGAGATATATAATTAAGTATTCGCTATCTAGCTTACCGGAGATAAATAGTCCTACCGAGAGATCTAGAGGGATAATAGTAAGAACTACTAGAATTCTAATTAATAATATAGATCTCCCTAAGAACCTATAGCTAGAGGTAATATATATAGTAGTATATATCCTTAATAGGACTCCGATAAAGATTAGAGATTAATAGATTATACCTTAGAAAGAACTAATAAAGTATACTATACTAGATAGTATCTATTACTAAGAGATTAACCTTTTAAATATAAGGTTATATAGCTATCTAACGTACTCGAGAATTATTAAGAGAGTATAATTAGATAAGATAGTACCTAGAGTAGAGATAGGATATCTTATAGGGTATATCTCTAAAAATCTATATAAAATATAGTTTCCCTATAAAGAACGTACTAGTATAAGAAGGGTAGACGTCGTTAGAGATACTATTTTCGATAAATTAAGGAGGTATTCGAAATCGATAATAATACCTAAGGAAGAAGATACTATTAGTATTATAATAGACGGATTAGGCATTAATAATTAGAACTAGCCGTAGGTACTTACTAATAATAAAGCCTAGGCTAAGATTAGCACCTAGATAGAGATACTTAGATCGATAGCTAGGATAGTACTATATAATAAAACTAAGTATACTAAGTAAGCTAGAGATAATATAGTTAATATAGCTAATAATATAACTAATAATATAGTTAATATAGCTAATAATCTAGTTAATAGAAATAATAGAAATAATAATAAAAAAGAGGTTAGGCAGAGAACCCTATTATAGGTTAGAAAGGAAGTAGCTAGATTACCTACCCCGTAATTAATAATTAGATTAAAGGAGTAAATAAAAGAGTAAATAATAGGAGAGCAAATAAATATATAGAGAGGCCTATTAGGAAGCTTCCTAGATATACTATCCTCCCTACTACTATTAAGGCTATTAAGATTATTAATATTATTATTAAACCCTCCGATTCTATTAAATCTATTAATCCTATCGAATCCGGAGCCCTAAGAAGTATTATCGTTACTAGATCCGATCTCCGTGATCCTATCGATCGAAACTAGGGGGGTAGATAGGGATATAGAAGTAAGAGATAATAAAGTAAGTAATAACGAAGTAGAGATAGAGAGATAGCTATAAAGGGAAATAGTATACTCGCCGTTACCGGTACTATTACTATCCTATCGAGAGTAGTCTTATCGAGAGTAGTCCTATCGAGAGTAGTTTTATCGAGACTACCGAGCGTTATCCTAACTATTATTATTATCCTAACGAGTACTAAGGGATATATTAGGTAATATCGATATATTAAATATTATTATTAGTAGTAGATCTAAGAAACTAAGAATAGATCTAGATTATACTACCTACCTATCTCTTAAAGACTAAGTAGAACTACTAAGTCTACTTT